GGAAAAAGGGATAGGGAGACATAGAAGACCCCATTGAGATTACAATATCTATATAGAAAATTTTAACCTCACAAATCTTGATAATATTAATATATATGGTGAGGGCTGGTAAACAAAAGAAAGAGTTCCAACTAGTCTATGACAATATAAATATACATTTTCTCAAGTTTTCACAAACTCTGACACTTTTGGTTTCTTATCTTTATCAGGAAAGCAGAGGTCAAGGCAAGGGTTAAATGTAACAAAATGCAAGTAAATGCATGATTATTATGCAGAGATTCAAAATCTTGAACAAAATACCTATTTATCATGTAGTGAAAGAAAGCGAGTGACTGTTAAAAATAAGAAGTTACCTTGAAGGTTCGTACCCTTGAAGGTGGAAGCGGGCTAGGAAAAGTGAGTTCCCACTTGGGGTTTGAAAATGAAGATGAAAAAGACCGTGTTAATGTTGCTGAGATAATATGGTTCCTTCTGTTGCTGAGATAAACAACTCAGAAAACACATATGAAGGTCCAAATGAAGCACATGCACCCTCTCATCATGGGTCAGAACTCACATGACATTGAAAGCAGCGAAAAGGTGGGACCCATGCATGCCACGTAGACAATTAAGGTCGAACTTGACTGTCGAAATCAAATTGCAAAAAATAAAAAAGATTAGGGTACATGATTGTTAAAAATGAGAGTGCAAGGATAAACATGCTTTAAGGGTGAGAGTTCATGGTATTAAATTGAAATTAACCCAAAAATTAATAAAAATGGGTTTTGTGAAAACAATTTAAAATTTTGAGGGGTGTTTGTGTAATTTCTAAAACTGCAGGGAGTTTTGTGAAATGGCCAAAAAGCTCAATGGGTGTTAGTGTAAATAACTCAATAAAAGAATAAAAAAGAACATTTACACGTAAAGTAAATTACAACATAAAAAATTTAGAGCCTCAAATATAAAGTCGCGGACATAGAGCCCCATTGTGAGAGAGAATACATTTTCCATCGAAGATACCATGTACTAAGAGAAAAGAGATACAAACCAGCCTTAATAATAGTGAAGAGGTACCTTAGCCAAAAAGTAGGTACCTTCGCATCTAGGATAAAAAGACGAGAAGTTGCCTTGGAGGTTCCTTACCCTTTACTTCAACAAATTGTAGGTACCTTCGCATTACAAAGAAACTGCTTCAATTGACTATAACTAAATACCATAGAGATAGTCGTCAACATTGCTGGTATTAGACCAGTTTAAGAAAAAAACAAACCATAAAACTTGTTTCAGTTTTTTATTTTCAGACCAAAAAACAAAATCTTTGGATAGAAAGACCATCATTTGAAAGAAAGCGCGTCAGTGAAAAAAGAAAAAGAAATATCAATGTCGGCCATGTGCACTATCTGAAAGCAATTTATTCAGCAAAGAAAAGGTAAAGAAAGGTAGTGCCTCTCACCAATAGATGCTTCACCAGATTAAAGACCGCGTCAGTATGAAAAAGAAAATTAAGCGTTTGATGACTTGAAGTTGAAACGAAAGCTCCTCCACATGGAAGGTGGTAGGAAACTGCTTCGTCAAGCCCTCATAAATCTAACCAGAGCGTCACTGCCATACCCAATTCTTTGAGCTTCTCTTTGCTTTTAATTATCTGCCTCCTATCTATGACCACTCAACCAGTCTCTTCTTCTCCTTCTTCTTCTTCTTTCACTCATGATTCATCATGCACATATGATGTGTTTTTGAGTTTTAGAGGTGAGGATACACGCACCAATTTTACCGATCATTTGCACGAGGCTTTAGTCCGTAAGGGAATCCGGACCTTCATTGATGGAGAGCTTGTAAGAGGAGAAGAAATATCGCCAGCCCTTGTCAAAGCAATTGAAGAATCAAGAATTTCTCTCATTGTATTCTCTGAAAACTATGCATCTTCGAGGTGGTGCTTGGATGAACTTGTCAAGATCCTTCAATGTAAACAATCAAAGCAACAAATAGTTTTGCCCTTTTTTTTCAAGGTGGATCCGTCAGATGTACGACACCAAAGAAGTAGTTATGGTGATGCATTTGTTCACCATGAACGCAAATTCAAGGATGACAAGGAGAAAGTGCTCAAATGGAGGAGAGCTCTTACAGAAGCAGCAAATTTGTCTGGATGGCATTTCAAGGAGGGAGAGTATGTTTCTATCTTTATCATTTTCAAGTTTAATTTTTTTCTCTCTTCTTTGTCATTACTATTTGTTACACATTTCATTGTTACTCATTATTAAAGAAAAGTATCCTTTTGTAAAAATATTAAATTGTAGGGAGAAGATATTTTTTTTTTTTAAAGGCCAAACTTATATATTTTAATAAGCATATAAAATACACTAACAATATATAATTTAAAAAATTTAGAAAAAGTATAAAGACATCAAGTCTTGTGTGCTGCCACACGTGGGTGGGTACAGGATTGCCACAGCAACTGCAGAATATTGGAAATAGAGAGTATTGTATGAGTCACCACATGATTAGCTAAAGTAACATTTCCAGAAATATTACTTAAATTTATCTATAAAAATGTTTTGATGAAGATGCTCTCCACTTTTCTCAATAGAGTAATGTAATTATGTAACTCATAATATTGGAAATTGAATAAATATAAAATTACGAGTACTTTTGCATTGGAATTTCCTTTTAATTTTTCCAGCTAAAATTATAGACACAATTGCAGTTGATCATTGGAACTTGATCTAGCGAGGATATGTTTGTACTGTGTTATATGATTTTGTTAATCCAACTCTTATGCCAATGATGACGAAAATTTGGTAGTTATTCTGTCACTTATTGGATACACCTTCCACGTGCTTCTTGATATAATCATTTTTAGTAATTTTTAATGATTATGGAGAGAAACACTTCCCATATACTTCTCCATAAAAGTTATTATTTGCGTGGTTGGATTTGTTTAAATCTCATTCATTGAATGTGTGTAATTTGGTTAAACTGGCAGGTATGAAGCTACATTTATCAACAACATCGTTGATGGAATCTTAAGCCAAGTACTGAGCCGCACATATTGGAATGTGGCCAAGTACCCAGTTGGAATTCAATCTCGTGTACAAGATGTGGAAAGGCATTTAGATGTTGGTGGGAATGGTCGTCGCATGGTTGGGATATGGGGGACATCTGGAATAGGCAAGACAACAATTGCAAAAGCTATATGGAATGCAATTGCACATAAATTTGAGGGAAGTTGTTTCTTGTCAAATGTTAGAGAAAATTCAATGTCAGATGGAGACTTAATCAAGCTACAGGAGGCTCTTCTTCATAAAATTCTTGGCGGTGAATGGAAAATTCATAGTGTTGATGAAGGAATTGGTGTCATAAAAAAACGGTTGAGCCATAAAAAAATTCTCTTAATTCTTGATGATGTGAATCAATTGAAGCAATTAGACAATTTGGCTGGTGTTGGTTGGTTTGGTGAGGGAAGTAGAGTCATTACAACTACACAAGATAGCGGATTGCTAAAATGTCATGGAATTGATTTGATATACGAGGTCCAAAAGTTATATGGCAACCGAGCTCTTGAGCTTTTTAGTTTCAGTGCCTTCGGAACCAACAAACCTCCAAAGGATTATTTGGAACTCGCACAACATGCAATAGCATATGCTCAAGGCATTCCACTAGCTCTAACACTTTTAGGTTCTCATCTTCGTAATAAAGACAAAGATCGTTATATATTAGAAAGTTATGAAGGAGAACCATATACAGGTATTCGAAAAATACTTCAAAAAAGTTATGATGCCTTGGAAAATTCCATGCAACAATTTTTTCTAGACATTGCATGTTTCTTCAAGGGTGAAAATAAGGACTATGTTCTACAAATAGTAAGCAATTCTAAGAACAAGGTCTCCCGAGATTGTATTGAAGTACTCATTGAAAAGGCAATGATAACTATTGACCATGGTCAGATTCAGATGCATGACTTACTAGAAAAACTGGGCAAGGATATAGTTCACGAAGAATCCCCCAATGATCCCGGCAAGCGTAGTAGATTGTGGTCTTATGAGGATGTTGAACAAGTTCTAACAGAAAGTACAGTAAGTATCACATATATATGTTATTATATTCAATTTGACAAGAAAGAATACCTTATGTAACCTATATAATTTTCTTAACAAAATGTGCTTGCATTTTGGTTTGTAAAATGACTCTGTTTTTTAATCTTAATGTTTTTCTATCTTAGGGAACAAGAAATATTAAAAGCATCATTGTGAAGCTTCCAAGACTAGCAGAGATAACCTTGAATCCAGAATGCTTCCGTAAAATGGTAAATCTTGAAATTTTCATAAACTGTGATGCATCTCTACGTGGGCACATTAACTATCTGCCCAACGCGTTAAGATTGATTGATTGGGATAGATGTCAGTTACAATCTTTGCCACCCAATTTTCAAGGGAATCGTCTTGTTGAGTTCAATATGCCTCGCAGTCATATCAGACAATTGGATGGATTTAAGGTATGCATTTGAAATTATTTTCATCGTTATATATAATTTCAAATAAAGTTGTTAATTTCAGAAGGAAAAAAAAATGAAAAATTGTTTTCTAAGTCTTTGTCTTTTGAAGCCTGTGATTAATTATTTCCTGTTTTTGTGTTCTTGCCTCACAGCATTTGCCAAACCTGACATCTATGAATTTGAGCGGTTGTCAATTCTTAGAAAAAATCCCAGACTTATGTGGAATCCCAAACTTAAAGGAATTGGATCTAAGCGAGTGCACAAGTTTAGTTGAGGTTGATGATTCTGTTGGATTCCTTACTAAACTTGCCTTTTTGGATCTCGATGGATGCGTTAAGCTTACGAGGTTTGGAAGAAGAATACGAGTCACCAAAGGTTACGTCATTGGAAGTTTTTCTGCCTATCGGGAAATAGTTTTGTCAATCTTCCAATATCCTTAAGCAAATTTGTCAACTTGAGGAATCTTGACTTGCGTGATTGCATAAGTCTTCTAGAAATTCCAGAACAAGTGCTTCCACCAAGAGTAAGATTCGTATCTCTGTCTAACTGCACATCATTGGAAAAAAATTCCAAAAGTGTCTTGGGTTTCGCTGGATAACCGCACATCATAAGTTGTGTGTAGACAACACCTCTTGCTTGTGCTCTGCCTCTCTCCCAGTTTTGAGAGTCGGTGGCTATTTCCCACCCTTGATGGGTGTTTCTTTGAGCTTTGTCTAAGTAGTTCAGGGCTTTATGCCTTTTCAGTTATGTTGTTTATGTTTTCTTCTTCCTCTCCAACCCTTTTTAGCCCTAGATCTCACATCAATCTCCAACCTTTTTATTGGATTTTCATCCTCTTTCACCCCCTTGCTCCTCATCCCCCAGATCCCCCCCACTCTCACCCATATCACTTGCTCTACTCCTCTCCTTCCTCACTTGTTCCCACCTCAATCCAAGCTTGTAGCTATTCATCCCCTACACGCGTGTTCGCGTCTTAATCGGAAGATTGGTAGAGTTTCAACTCGAGTGCTCGCACCACCACCTTCCACGAATTGGTTCTTGTTGGTTCTGCTGGCTACGGGCTGGTTTTGGCCTTCGGTTTCTTCTGATGTTTGGCTGCTGTCCCTTGATACGAGTTTGGGTTCAATGGGTGCGAAGTGCGTCGCAGTGGAGTTCGTTATTGGGGTTTTTTTAGTTTTATGCTTTTCCAATTTTAAGACTTTGTTCCAGTGGATTTAGGGTGGTTATTTGTTGTGTTGGTATGGAAGTTTGTTGTTTTGTTTTGGCCGTAGTGTGTAGTTGTTTGCTTGCTTCTTTTCCTGTTGCAGGGATGATCATGGCGGCTGCCTTCTGTTGTTTTGTTTTAGTTGCTAAGGTTTCGTTTGTTTTGGGCCTTTTGACCTTTGCTATGTTGGGCTTCATTTGTAACCCTTACTTATGAATGAAAGTCCACTTTGACCCAAAAAAAAAAAAAAAAAACCGCACATCATTGTAGAAAATTCCAGAATGGCCAAATATCTCTGTACTTGTTCGATTGCGTTAGACTACGAGGCAATGACATCACGGAAAATATTTTTCTGAATCAGGTTTCTTCTTCTTCTCTGCATTCTAATCTCGAGATTAGTCTTCCAGGCAATGAAGTTCCAAAGTGGTTCAATTGTTGTAAAGATGCAACAATAGTTAGACAATATTTGTGTTCAGGTATTGGAACAAAGAGATACTATACTGGATGTGAAGTTAGTTTTGAAATTCCTCCAAATTTAAAATGGAAGACGTTAAGATTGGTTCTATGTGTTGTTGCTCATGGTATTGCCAAGATTCTTATCAATGGAAAACTCGTCAGTGAGAGATTTATTGTATTACCAGAAAGTCATGTGTACCTCGCGTCTACTCCATTATTGGATAGGTACACGTACGAGTTTGAAGAACCACTGACGAAGCAGTGTAATACGTGTCAAGTTATACTTGACTTGTCTGGCAAAGGGCCCACACCCGTTAAAAATCCCTGCGGGGTCCACCTATTAGGCCACCAGGTTGCTGATATCAGTGAGACTGATGCGATGGCAGTGGACGATGATATTTATGATGATCAACACCAAGATTGCGAATTGCTTTCCTTGTCTTTAGCATCAAAGACTAGTCTTGGCAAGAGGCCTCGCCAATTAGATTGCGTGGCACTTGACGATGGTCATCGTGCTAACGTCGTCGACATTGGTGATCATGGAGCTCAACGGCTTACCTTGTTTACGGGACCAGCGGATCGCCAAAAGAGGAGGCACATTGATCTTAATGAGGAGCCAAAGTACGTAAATTCATGAAATTTTGAATGATATCTTTGCATATATATATATATATATATATATATATCTTTTTTTATACCTTTTTGTTTTGGGTTAAATCCTTTTTCTTAGCTCTCTATATTCGATATTAAATTTTCAGGCAATGAATTTCCAAAGTGGTTTATATGAGCCCCAAGTGTTAGATTTCTTTATTACATAATCTAGATCTTTCACACAAACATGTAATACGTATAAGGACATGAAAACGTACCTGGAGCCATCTTCCTTGAATACACAGCTTCTGAATTCATCCTATCCGTTGCGCAGCAATCCTAGCAATTTAACAGTGACGGCTCAAGAACTTCTGCTCTCTCTCTCTTTATGATGAGAATAGGTTTAGAGAACGTGTCTGATGAGAGCAGGGCCTTAAGCTTATATAGGGCTAGGTCCAGTCGTCTCTACTCATCACCGAGGGCCGACTTGACTAATCTTCCAAGCCCACTTAATCGGTTCACGCAAAAAGGAAACAAAATAGGACTCCTTAATAGGCCTCAAAACCTTTCCTTATTTCACAAGGTTTTGGGCCTCAAGGTACAACTTAATTTAAACCCTTATCAAACCTGATGTGACTTAGTATTTAGTGCACCGATCTAAATAGGAAAACATAACACCAAGTTTAGCTGTCGAAACGAACCTGATTTCCGGCAAGGTCTGGTATTCAAGAGGTGTGTTGAGGCGCCAGCAATTTCTGAGATTCCATTTTAAGTTGCATAAGGCAATACCTTTCTTCTAAATTGATGCATCTAGCATTTATCCGCAGATGAACAAAGCTGGATTTATCTAATGCTTTCATTCCACACATATTTTGTCTGTGATTCTTCTATCTCATTCACTGGAATTGATGTATGTTGGGGACAAAATGTAACAGATTTATCTAATTCATAATTTCCAATCAAGGTTTTTTGAAAATCGGACATTAATTGTAAACAGGCATCCAAATATGCCCAACATATTTTTGTTGAAAGATTATGTCTCATTATACTAGTGATGTTGCTGGTATTGGCAAGGTACAAGAATCCCAGCATGTCTAAATCATGTGAAGTTGCTGCAACTCAACTGCAGCATTTTTGATAATCCTGCAAAAGACACGAAATGGGATTTGGAACAATTGAAATTGCAAGATGAAAAGTTTGATGGGCAGCCGTAGTATCGCCCATATTTTGTAGTTTTCGAACTCCTGTCTAGATTGTGAATGGATTTTGGTTCATTGAATACCAGTTGCTGTTTGAACAGCCCTAGTAGAGCTAACATCTCCAATGGCTCCATTTACCCAAAAAGAATTTGGTTGTAGAAACTAGGAAAAAGACGCCAGGAATTACAACTTTATTCTTTGTTCACGAAAGCGCATTATTATTGTCATTGCATGACCGGATAGCTACTCCAGATGTCTAATGTTCAATTTTATCCACCAAGTAAAACTAGAACTTACAATGTGAACTGACACCAAGTAAAACTTATGACAGGAATAAATGTCCCTACAACAAAAACGAAAATTCACTTCATACAGAATTATTATAACAAGGGAGCGGTACACAGCAGTGTAAATGCAGACAAATATGCACGGCATCCATGGAGCGCTCCAAACCGCCCACGTCGCCGCAAATAAAAAGCTCCCCATTGAATTGGCTCAAAACAACATATTCAAGCATCACTAACTTGGTTATATTCCTACATAAGCCACAGTCTGCAACAAATACAAGCCTATACCTCATTTTTCAGCAGGAAACTAAAAGAAAATAAAACCACCCGTAGAAAAACAACTGATTCAATTATGCAAAAATTAGGTTATACTGAACAAACATGGAGCAATTTTTTATCACTCCCCCTGCTTAAGCAGCTTGGAGCCATGAAGAATACCTTTCCAGGTGGAAGAATAGTCATGCCTGGCATCCAAAGAGTTATCCAGGATAGAGTGGCCTTTCAGATATTTATCATCATAGATTTTAGCCCATAAACCCTTATCTTGAGCATGTAATCTCCACCCAATTTTACCCAACAAAGCTTGGTTCATTAAGGTTGTTTTCTTCAGGCCTAAACCACCTTTACATTTAGGTCTGCATACCAAGTCCCATTGGCTCAAAACAACATATTCAAGCATCACCAACTAGTGCAGCAAACTTCCATGTTCATTATATGCACCTCAGTTAGGATATCCACTTCTCTATGAGCTGAAATTTCAAAGACATATATTTTCAAAAGAAGAACTCACACACTTCAGTTTGAACAAATAAGATACAAATCTACATACAAATACAAATGGTGCTTTTTTTATGAATAGATAACCGAAAATAAAAATGCGAGAAGAAAAGTTCAAACCAATGAAATACTCTTAAAATATGGAATTTATGGTTGTTCGCTTCTTAAGCAAATGGAAAAAACAAAATATTGTGCCCAACCCTCTCATGTTTCTATAACTACACCAAGACCCCACTGATTCCAATCCAAGAAAATTTGTACTTAAAATTATCCTTAATCCCAATTCTTAAGAAACGAATTTTTAGAATTATGATTTGACACTGGCAGTGAGCTAGTATGCCCCTGTACAGGAGAAAAACTTTCCTGGCACGGGATACCAAAGTCAGCATCCACGTCAGTATCCCAGCCAATTCACTCCTGACAGCTGTCAAACACTTTTCACTTCTAAATTGTCTTTTTCACGCCTGCTCCATCGTCCTAGTTCACCTCTGCAACACAAAGTCCTCTTCTTCTCTCCTCATCTCTCCCTCTATTTCTCTCTTTTCTCATCGACTCTCTCTCTCTTCTAACCGAGTCTTCCTTTCATCACTACCTCTCTTCCCTGCAACTAAAATCCCCTTTCTTCTCTCTCACTCAAAATATTTTTTTTCACATCTGCTCCATCTGTGTTCCTTTTGCAACTTAAACCCCCATTCTTCTCTCTCATATCTCACCTCCTATCTCTATTTTCTCACTAACTCTCCTTTTCTCTCTCTCCCAACTCTCTTCATCAATTATCACTCTCTGTTTTCCAATATGAAGCTTTACCATATATAACAGAAGAAATTCGAAGGTGAGGGTAGCTTTAGGTTGAGTGGTGGTTTTGGTTTGATGGTGAAGTTAGGGGAGCGGGAGGGGACGGGAGAGATTGGGAGAAGAAGAAAAAAAATTTAATTTTTAAATTTTAATTTGTATAAATTAAAATTTCCATTTTGTATTGTTTATTTTTAAAAGGAATAATTTTTTTAATATTTTGACCGAATTGCCCCTCCACGGGTAACGGAAGTTACTCTAATTTGACAGAAATGAGAGTTTGTAAATTAACCAAATTGAGACGACAAAGACTAAAGTGATAAAAGTAGCTAACTACAGGGAGTAAGAGTGACTTCTTGCCAAATTTCAATAAAGCATCTAAACAAAAACTTTATAGGGCCAAAATCCCGCAAAACATTCTTAACGCAAATATCTTTATAAGATTAATTTGTCCTGGGTGTGGCCCGTTCAACCCTGAGGATGAGATTGTCATAACCGTAACCATTCAGTTTGTTGATTGCTCTCTGGGCATCTTCCCTATTCACAAAGTTGACAAACCCAAATCCTCTACTAATTGAAGTATTCTTATCAAGAGCAACGTAAACACGGCTTACAGCACCAAAAGGCCGGAAAAGTTCAAGCAAGTCAGGCTCCCGTGTGTCCTCTGAAAGGTTGGTGAGACGAACAGAGTTCTCATCGTTCCTTCGTCTCATATCAGATCCAGTTCTGTCTGCCCCTGCTCTCACGCTTGGAGGAACATACTTGCCAGTTCCAGCAGCTCCAGCTGCAGCATCTGATGTAGGAGGCTTATCGCTAAATGCTTCAGCCTGTGGGGCGAGATCCTTATACAGGCACTGTGAAGTCCAGTGGTCACCCTTCTTACCACAAGTCCTACAAAGTTTGAGAGCAGCCCCTCCTTTTCCAAGTTGAGCCAAAGAGTCTCCTCCAGCCTTTGGTTCTTCTGCCTTGCTACCTGTTTTAAGTTTGGAGTTCACAGTCAAGTACAAATAAAAAATGGGGTATGATGACAAATGATAATCACAAAAACCCAAAAAATCAGATACTGTGACCAATTGGAATTGAATGATAACAAATAAATCAAAAACAAATCTCAGACAGAAGACATAAATAGAGAAGCCGCAGAAGCAATGAGATATATGAGGACATCAACAAATAGTTACTCAAAATATTATTCCATGTCAATCATGCATCGTGCACAAATGAAAATGACATGGCAAGAGACGTCAAAATCAAGCCTAAATTATCTCTGAGAAAGTAGCCATCCCTGAGCAGCCTCTTAACCTAAAACAACATCCAACCTCCACATAAACCTAAATTAAGGGACTTGAGTCTAGGCCCAGATGAAGGAGCATTTCAAGATAGCAGGCACAGCTGAACTTGTCTTAATTTTGTAAGACAAACTTAAAAACTTAAGGTCTTGGGTTAGAAGATCTGTCTGCATCATTTAACTAGGCTTGTATACTTTCCATATGGAGTCATAAGATTTAAGGAAAATTAGGTATTAGACATAATTAACTTTATTAATTAGTATTTGAGACATTGGGTATTTTAGTTTGGGTTTTAATACCTATAAAAGAATTGTTATTTTGGATTAGGCCAAAGAGGAGGCTCAGATTCGTTGGCCCACCTTATATTAATTACTAAGAAGACAATTATACCCTTTTTATTAAAATATTTAGGGTTGGTCTCCCTTTTTGATACTCGCTGAGAAGAGAGAGAAAGAAAGGGGATTTGCGTTCTAGGGGAAGAGAGGGAGAGATGAAAGGGAGACTCGGTTAGAACAGAGAGAAAGAGAGGGAGAGATGAGAGAGAAGTAGATGGCTTTGAGTTGCAGAGGGAAACAAGGACGGACGATGGAGCAGGCGTGAAAAAAAAAAGATAGCAGGCACAGCTGAACTTGTCTTAATTTTGTAAGACAAACTTAAAAACTTAAGGTCTTGGGTTAGAAGATCTGTCTGCATCATTTAACTAGGCTTGTATACTTTCCATATGGAGTCATAAGATTTAAGGAAAATTAGGTATTAGACATAATTAACTTTATTAATTAGTATTTGAGACATTGGGTATTTTAGTTTGGGTTTTAATACCTATAAAAGAAGAGACTTTCTATTTAAACCCCACACTTCTCTTAGTTCACCCCAATACTTAAATTATTAAGCTGTAAGTTTTATTATTGTGTAAAAAGACAAAAAAAGTCATCTAACTTAATATTTAACCATAGTACATCTACACACACACCACACACACCCCACACACAACTCTTCAAATTAAGTTTTAAAAAAATACAAACTCTTCTACATCCTATGCCAAATTACTTTTCTCTTTTAAAGACGTAGAACATTGACGAGCCTACCTATTTGAAATATGCGCTGAAGCTGATGGAAAGACTTGTTGATTGTTTCGCTGTAATGATCTTATTCTCTTCCCTTTGTTGATTGCTTTTTTTTTTTTGGTACTCTTTGCTGTTGATTGCTTGATTGTTTTAATTTTTGATTTAAAATTTATACTTAATGTTTTGGTAAAACTGTTCTCTTTCTCTAGAAAGTACGGGGTAACTTGAATTTTTCTTCATATTATATCAATTGACATACACGTTCAAAAGGCACGAAACCAAGAGATTCATGGGAATACTGTTAAGTTGGGTTTTTATTATCCTGCTGAGAAGAGGGAGAGAAGCCCAAGCTTTGATAATGGTCCTACAATTTGCTGGGTGCGTCGTATATCAAAAGACAAGTACTTCTACTTTGGCTATGAGCAATGGATTGCTTTGTCATATCATATAAGTTTTCCAACCTGAAATTTGGTATCTTTCCTTGTTTTAGCTGTGTTATGATATTGATGCAGTTGTGTTTTTTTGGTACAATACATTATATTTGATATTGATGCAGCTGTGTTTTTTTTTTTTTGTGTATTTAAGGGTAGTTTGGGAAGATAGTGGGGTTTACTTAGAAATTGTGAAAATTTAAATTAAAAATTGGGGTGAACTTAGAACATGGGGTGAACTAAGAGAAGTGTGGGGTTTAAATAGAAA